AATACATTATCTAAGTTGTGAAACTTATTTGTGAAACAGGTGAGTCTGCAACGTCATAATTTGCTGAGTCAAATAATCATTAACCTTGAAGTCCATCTTTTTCTAGTACTTTGGACTACATCATTGCACTTTTTAACTTTTGTCTCTTCAACCTTGCTTAGATACGTCTCCCGTTACCATGTGAAAGATTCTTCACGTCATGTGATTCTTGGCACACAGCAGTTCAAACCTAATGAATTTGCAAGCCAAATTAATTTAATCATGGAGAACGCCTGGGGCATTCTGCGCTGTGTCATTGACATCTGCATGAAACTGGATGAGGGCAAGTACCTTATCCTGAAGGATCCCAACAAGCAAGTTATCCGAATTTATAGCCTGCCTGATGGCACCTTCAGCTCTGACGAAGAGGAAGATGAGGAGGAGGAGGAAGAGGAAGAGGAAGGTAATAATTTCAGAAGACTGCTAGATAAATCACTACTCTTAAACTTTCTTTCACAACCAGAACTTAACCCATCTGACTAGAATAGCCTTCAGTGATGTAGAAGTTACAGCTTTCAACTGGTATTTGCTGCCCTCACCTTCTGTGTCTCAACCAGAATTAAAATTAGAAGGCCAAAAGAAGCAAAATGCATCCTAATTTTGCGACAGGATATACTAGAATACATTCAACCAGGTTATGGTATCCATATTGTAGAGCCTCAGGCCTTCTTGGGCACATAGTACACACAAACCCTTCAAAAAAAATTGTTTAAAATAATATTTTTACCATTTTTTTAAAATGTTGGGCTAGATGAAAACTTAGATAAAAAGAAATACATTTTAAAGAGTAAGTGTAAAGAATGAAAAGTGGGTAGCTCATCCAAAAGGGAGAATGAACCTCAGAGGAAAAATAGCTTTGAAAGAAATTAGGCACAACTTGAGCAGATTCAGAATAAAAACTCTTACTATATTCTGAGTAGTCATCTTGCAGAGAGCTCTCAGTATATTGGGGTTCTTTCCCATCCTGGATTAATTCATCCCACAGTTTGGAAGGGGCTAAATTACTTTATTTTCCACATCTAGCTGCTGCTTTTGGTTGTTTCAGAGAATAAAAGTCTCAATCCTTCCTTGTTGCTTAATATCAAAGGGATAGGAGTTGTGTTTTCTTGAAGATTTAGCAAGCAAGCTAGCTAGCTAGTCCGCATTTTGGTACTATTAAATGCAAAGTTTTAGGTTACATACAAAATACAAAGACCTTAAATAAAATGGTAACAAAAAATTTCTCTTAAAAAAACCCCAAAAAAGTACAAATACAAATTTTCATATTATCAAAGCATATTAATATGTTTTCATCATTGGAAACTTGTCTTGCTAGAGGTGCCTGTTTGAGATACATCCAATTGAGGTTATAGTTTATAAAAGTCTTATTTCAAAAGAAGTTGTTTGAGAGGCTACTTTCCATCATTCTACCAGCATCTTTTACATGATAAAATTATTCATAGCATGCTGTATCAGTATATTGGGTTATATATTTTGCCGAATTTACTCCATAGATTAAAAAGGGTTAAATTAAGCTATTATCCAAAGTGGAACAGCATCCTGTGATTTTCAAATAGTGTGTGGGAAATAAATAATTAAGTGGATCTAGATAGATGTTCAGAATGGTATCTAGTTTCCTTAGTCAAGAATTTAAAAGAATGCATATGGCACTGAATATTGTTAAGAAGCACCCAGCCTGGCAGGTAGGAGGGGTAAGTGCAGCATTAGTCTAGGATCACTGCGCAACTGTAAAAGGGCCAGAACCAGAACTGGCCCTCCCTGAACTCCTTGGAGCCTTATCTAATCAAGTAGTTAGCTTGAACTACTTCTACTAGTACCTGTGGGTCTGGTTGTTCGTACCTGACAATATTAATCTTTTTTTAAAAAAAATCAGTTCTATAGGTCTTTTCTGATTTCAGCTGTATATAAACAGTTGGGGAAATTTCAGAAGTTTTTGCTAAAAACATTGCTGCCATTTGATTGTCAAATGATTGACGAAGGTTTCTACTGCACATAAAGAAATTAATACTGAGGAATATATGCAAACTGCAAAACTTAAGGATTTTGTGTGTGTGGCTTGGGATAGAAAGACATTTTCCATTCTGATCTGTCTTTTTGTTGCAGAAGAAGAGAGCTGAACTTTACAACCAGGCAGTAGGGTCAACAGCATCTTGAAGGTCATTCAACTTTTTATTCTTCAAAGATGGATCAGAGCTGAATCTGCACCTTGTTTGGCTAGACCTTAAGAAATAAATATCATAATCTTGATAAATGTGTCCTTTGTCTTATTGCTACATTGAAGTACCGTGTTTCCCCCAAAATAAGACCTATCCAGAAAATAAGCTTTAGCCTGATTTTTAAGTGTGTACCTAATATAAGCCCTACCCCCAAAATAAGCTCTAGTGAAGATTGTCATCCGACCAGGGCAGGGGTAGGGAAACTTGGCTCTTTTATCACTTATGGTCTTCAACTCCCAGAATTACTAAGTGAGGCATAAAAGGTTCCCCATCCCTGGCCTACTGGTTTTTCAGTTGTGGGGGAAATCAATTTTTGACTTGAATGGGACTGTTTAATATACAAATGTAGGACATATAAAGAATGTGTCCCCCACAACTGAAAAGCCAGTAGGCCAGGGATGGGGAACCTTTTATGCCTCACTCAGGAATTTTGGGAGTTTAAGTCCATAAGTGATAAAAGAGCCAAGTTTCCCTACCCCTGGCCCAGGGGGGTGGGCATGGCCAGCACAGGAGGGCATAGGGGCTAACAGTGTCTGGCAGCAGCAGCAGCATCCTGCACAGCACAGCACAGGTGAGTTGATTAAGCTGTCCAAGCAGTAGGCAGAGGCAGGCAATCCAGATTGTGCCACGCAGGCTGCAGGAAAGCCAAGAATCTGGGCCAGAGCAGGCAGGTTTTTTTCAGTTTCACAAAGTCTAAGGATTCCAATCGGCAATAAATGTAGACATGTCTTTGATCATTTTAAGTATTTCGCCATCTCAGCAAGTTCCATCATTTTTACCAACCATTATGAATAATGCTGAATTGCGCATGCAATAATCTCACTACAATAATCGTGCATAAAAATGCTTCATTTGTATATGAAAATGAAGGATCCTTTACTGGAGAAATACTTTTTAGAAGGTCTGAAATGGTAGAATTTAGGAAAAGGTTTGCATTTTGCTTTTGCATGTGTAGACTGCAGCATTGTTCTTTATTTGTGTTGTGATTTTTATCTTACATTACTAAATAAGCATTTGTTGAATAATCCAAATAGGTTCACATATATTAAACAAAACATAAATCACATAAGTATGGTTTGTGAGCCACCACTTATTTTTGACACAAGCCACAAATTATGGTGAAAGGAGATGCCTCAGACTTCAAGCTTAGGACATAGTTCATAAAAGTACCGTGGACTTCAAAAGCAATCGGTCAGCTAGACCAAATAAAGGTTAAATGATTTGTTGAGGTGATATCAAGAAGAAACTAACATGCTTTGGTCATAGCGTTAGGACAGGCTAAAGAAAATATTTTGGTGTGGTTGAGAGAATGGAAGTCAGGTATGGATGGATGGGGTCAAGCAAACTAATGGAATATCCTCAAATGAGCCTGAGTTATTGCTAGATGCATAAGGATGGCCAGTGCTTTAAGATTGCCAGCAAATAAATGCCAGCTCAATTGAAGATAAAGGTTCCCAGTACTTTTCATCTGGCTAAATGAATGGATGCTAGAAAAATAGAGTAGCAACCAATATCTCAGAAAATAAAGACAGAGATGGTGGTGTATTTTAGATAGGGTTTCCTTAATCCTGCTAGGAAGAAAAATTGATCTTTTTTAGAAAGTATAAATTCTAGCTTTTAATTCCATTTCCGTCCTTACGCTTTTATATGAAGTAATTTTCTATTTCTGATAACTTCCATAACTATCCAAAACACTTCTCTCCCTTAAAAAAGCAACAGGAGTATTTAAGTGAAAGGATTTATGAAGTATGTATTAGAATAATTTGGGCATTCCAAGAGCCAGGGTGGCACAAGATTTTTTTAAAAAAAATGAAATCCAGACATAGAAAAGAGATCCATTTATTCCCAGATGTTTTTGGGTGGTAGACTACAGAACCCAAACAAATTGGGTTCTAATTTTTATAGGGAGACTGGTCCTTGGTGTGAGCTTGTGGGGCCTGGGTTGCCTATGTGCTTTTTCTAGTATATCACCGTCAACAGGTCAATCTTAATTGTCTAGTCTAAATGGATCATGGGTTTTGGTTAATGGTGGAAGGATAACAGACAGTAAGAGAAATAAAGTTAATTTGGGAATATAGAATCTCTTATGCTTATTATTAAAATAAAACACTTTCTTCACACGATTCAATTTCTGGTCTGAAAACGTGCTCATCTATTCTTTCAATCCAATTCAACCATGTCTATCACCGGTAAACGGGGGAGGTAATAACAAAACAAAATTCAATTCAATTCAGCAAACCTGCAGTCTGTTTGCCCTCTACGTTGGCTCTTAAAATCCTCGCCTTCGAGGTTTCATCCAGAAAATAGTTCACGGGGCAAATTATAATACGAAGCAAGGCTTCAGACCCACAAGGCTAATAGACGGATAATTTGCAGTAAGTTACTTTGCAAACAACCCAGGCGGGCGAACAAGTTTTAGGGTGTCGTTTTGCTATATGTGCCACTGACATTGTATTTTAGCTCCTGATTTCCCTCTCTTCCCATCTAATTCCTCGCCCCGCGTGCTTATACTGCGCTTTTCGTATTTCATCGTGCATTTTGTGAGAAGAAAGTTTTCCATCCTTGGATTCTCAGAGACAGACATTTTGGCGCCTGCTTTTTTCGAACAAAACGAAGCTCGCCATTTTCAGAGGACCACATGACGGAGGGGCGACGGGGGAGATGAGAGTCCAATGAGGCAGAGGAGGGCCGGGCGTCTGCTCGGAACACGGCGTCACGTGACGTGGACCTCGGGCTGCCTGGAGGCTGGCTGAGCTGATCCGCTTAGGAGGCGCGAGAGACGAGCTGTTGAAGCTCCGGGTGTCGCGGGTGCTTTCGGGCTGCTTCTACCTTGGAGGATCCGGAGGTCCATGGCCTCGACAACGCTGGCCTGTCGCCCCTTGCTGCATGTATTCGCTAGTGGCTGAGCCTTAACTAGCAGCTTTGCTGCCAACGGAGACCTCAGTTATGTCCGCACATCTCGCGGGCTGCCGGTCGCGTCCTTTTCCCCTTTGAGTGTTGTGACTGTTCGCAGCTGAGGTCCACAAGACGCGCTGCGTTGTTTCTATGCTGTCGGAATCCGAGGGGGACTTGCACGTGTTGGGTTGGTCAGGCATTGCCAGCCTTGGGATTCTTTTCAGTCCCTCCGTCCCCTCCCTCCTTCTAGATGGCTTGCAAACATGTTAAAACGATTTCCATAACGCCGTTGGAAGGCACCAGGTCGAGGTAGGTTCAGTGCATGCTTGAAATCGCATTTCTTACTGGCATTTTCTGCAAACGCCCAGCGGCTCTTTCTCTAAGAAGCTATTGGTCTGTGGGGAAAATAATTCAAACTCAGTAGCTGGGTAATTAGGCCAAGCTAAATAACGGATACACAGGGTTTTCTATTCGTCAAAACTTCCCTGAAGAGTTCTAGAGAATTTGAAGGTTTCTACACCATGTCTAGATGTTTTGGGTTAGTCCTCAGGCTTAAGGAGAGGGGGGTTCAGCCGGGGCCCTTGGAGTTCAAAGGGGGCCCCATGAAGGGGAAATCTTTAAAAAAAAACTTTACAAAACCAATTTTTTAAAAAGAAAAGCAGCAGGTCGGTGTCTCAACCTGGACGCGCCCGGGCAGGGGTGGTGGTGGAGGACGCTGGGAGTAAAACACTCCAAAGCTGGATCAGATCAACTTATTGGAGGGCAAAAGGCAAGGAAGGAAGGAAGGCGTCTTCCTTCCCATACAGCAGCAGCGGCAGCAATGATCCATCACCTCCACTCTTTCTCCCCTTCTCCCCAGTTCTTGAAGAATGAATGAACTTCTGCTTCTCACCTGTCGAAACCCTTCATGCCAAAAGGAAGGAGGGGCCACTGTTAGCTTAGTCGGAGGATCTGTGTATGCCAGCCGTGCTAAAGGGTAACTGCCAAGAGGTGGCTTTAAAACGCAGGAGGATAAACCAGAGGAGGAGATGGGTGGGTGGGTGAGGGAAGATTCACTTTTCTTTCATTCCTATAGACTAGAGTGAATCAATCTTCTCCCAGTCAGGGAAAAAAAAAAACCATCTACTTGTGGGCTATGCGGACTCCAATGCCGCTTCTCCGTACTTCGGACTTAACTCACCCCAACCCACTTCCTAATCTGCTTCGCTGCCCTGGCAGCCCCCCCCCCCCCCCCCCCCTTTTCTTTTTTGTAAGGAGCCACCATGCAGGGAGTAACACGAATTCCACAGGGTGGTGGGGAGGGGGAGATGTTAATGTGTAGGTGAGGGGGCACATATTAGTCTTGTTCCAGCCCTTAATAATAATGCACAGGGTGGCCCTGTTAGTCCTAATAAAGAAAGTATCACAGCAGGTGGCAGCACTTGGCTAATCTTGGGAGGAACAAAACCTAAGTAGCCTGCTTAGGACTTGAAAGGGAGATCTGCAGGAAATCCCAAGGGCCAAAACCTGGAACTTTTCAAAAAAAAAAAAAAAAACTGCGCTGGAAGAAGACAAGACCACCCATTTCCATATGTTATTGATAAGATAATAACAAGGTGGTGTGTGCAAATGTTAACCAGGTTAAGTTCTGCTCCAGCTTTTAATGAAGATATTACTCAGACATATATATGGATGTATTTTTCCTCTGATGATATGATTAGCATAGGAATACTAAATAAAAGGTTGTTCCCCACCCATCCAATCCATCACCACCACATTAAAAATGTTGCTTCTATTTCTTATTGACAAGGAAATGAGAGCAGGATTTTTTCCAGAAATGGAAATCCATTTTTTCCTGACTACATTATTGAATCCAAAGTTCCAAACCTTTTCTAGGAATTCCTTGATTAAGACAGTAACATTTTTGTCATGTTGTTATGCTTTTCTTGTACTGAATTTAGATTTATAATTTTTGTTCTATTCATGCATGAGCATCCATAAATATACATATAGAAATAAAATGAACCTTCAGTAAGGTTCCGATGTAATCAAAGCTTGGATACAGACATCAGGGAGACTGGGCAGCCTCTTCTGTAGCTCATGTGCCCTTTCTCACTCTCCCTTATTCCTAAAAGAATAATAATGTCCTCTTTCCTCACAAGGTTCAAGGGTGATGGATACTATTCTACCCATTCTGCCTTGCCAAGATTGAATAATGGTTTTTGTCAAAGAACTTTGCAGAGCTGCTAGTGTGTGCAAGTAGGTAAAACATTGTTAAGGCCAGCCATCTGACTTTATTTTAGCAATCTGGAATGTTAATAGTAATTTCTGTTATTGTTGATTTCTGTTAAAAGGGATTGCTATTTTTGTCTCAATTTTTTGTTTCTATCTCAATACTGACATGGATAACTCCCTTGCACATTTATCCTCCCAGCAATCTAGTATAGGAGATGTGCTTACAGGAACATGGGAAATATATGAGCTTGCCACAATGTCCCACAGCAATCCAGTTTTGTCTTGTATTCCAGTTAGGCAATGGTCTTAGAAATGATACAGTCTGTAAAAGAGATGTTTAGTTATCCTTTTCCCCCTTCCTGGAATGGAATTGAGAAAGACCTTGTGGTTAAACCTCAGAGATTGAGGGTGACATGGGGTGGAGAGGGATGCTGTCTTGGTTCACACATTGTAATAAGCCATAATGTGGCTTGTTTGGGTTGGCACAACTTGCTAAATTGTTCCTTCTAATTTGGCAGCCATGGTACATTACTTACTGTTGCACAGGAATCCTGCTAAACGAGTAGAAAAGCAGTATGTACACTGAGTAAATATTCTGGAACATGTAGATAAGTAATCCATGGCCTAATATTACATGTGAACCAAAACAAAGTATAGAATGTATTATTTTGCATTGTGCAGTGCAATGAAAGCAAGTTTAACAAAATTAAATGTTTTTTCTTTTTCTTGCCTTATCAGTTCTCAAAAGTGCCTTGAACAAAGTTAGACACCTTACCAGCAACATGGTGCTATCGTTTCTTTTGCTCATCTTTGCCTTGTCCATAGCCTCTTCCTGGTCTGATGACATTCTCTACCATGACTATTGTATTATTGGGGCTGGCCCTTCAGGCTTGCAGATGGCCTATTTCCTTCAACATGCAGGTCGGAACTATGTTGTCTTTGAACGTAGAAATACACCAGGGTACTTTTTCACCTTGTATCCCCGTCATCGAAAATTGATCAGCATCAATAAACGTTACACTGGCAAATCAAACAGTGAATTCAACCTTCGCCATGATTGGAACTCATTGCTTAGCCACAATAACCAACTGCTTTTTCAACACTACTCTCAGGATTTCTTCCCTGATGCTGATTCTATGGTGCATTATCTGGCTGATTTTGCTTCCAAACTAGACCTCCATGTGCACTATAACACATCCATTGTACTTGTGATGCTGGAAAAAGATCTTAATGCTTGGAATGGTCATTACTTCATCCTCAGAGACCAAAATGATCAGAATTACAAATGCAGGTAAATGGTGAAGAACTTCATCTGCTTATACAAAAATGTCATATTCCATGGAAGCTCCCATAATAAAAATGCAGGTGTTCTTAATTATTAGTATTGTGCATGCATAAACCATCTTTTGGGTACTGAAGTGCCAATACATATTTCAGAGAGACCCCTTTCAAGATACAGCTGGGTACCTAAACACACCCACATTCCATTCCTTTACTCCCCAACATAACTTTCCCTACAGACGTCCATTTGGAATATGGACAAATTGCTGAAGGTGACAGATCTGTCAGTGAGATGTGAGCTGGTTAATTTATTCTAAGACATTTCAGAAAGTCTAGTGGTCTGAAATGCAGCAGCAGGCATGGTGAGCAATCCAGGAGATTCCACATTATCCTCATGTTGAAAGAGCTGCACTGATTGCTTGTGGGACATAATTCAAGGTCCTTCCTGTGGTATATGAAGCATTACATGGCTTAGCTTCAAATGACAATTAGTCCATCCTGTGCACTGAGTTCCTCAATAGGACACTCTCCCATAGTTTTGATTATCAAGAATTATCATCTTTTCTACAGTGAGACTTTATATAGTTACTGAGAGTGGGGAGTGTATAAATCTTTAAGTAACATGATTGAGAAAGATTATTTTTCTGTATAGTTTACAATTTTGTAAAGTCTTATATTATCCCTTTGTGCCAATTTTTCTCTTTTCTTTCACCAGTAACTGAACTCTTATCTTTTCTACTAATTAAAGTTACTTTAAACATGCTGGATCAGTTGCGTTGCCTGTTTTGTTTCTAGTTTTGTTTGCCTTGTTTGCAATCACAGCAACAAAACTTTCAGTATAGTCACATCAAATGTTTTTAGAAGTAGAGAATGGAAAATATAGTAGCTGTTTTCTAATCAAACTCTTTTAGTAGCCTGAACATAGATTTTCACTCCATTAAATTATACTGCAGTATGAAAATACTCTTTTCGGCCTGTTTCTAGTAATTGCTATAGTATGATCTTTTGCTTGTTCTCCCACTAAATTGATAAGTAAAAATGGCTATCCTACTCTAAACTATCTGAGATCGAATTTTTGTGGTTTTGGATTTCTCTCTTTATAAATCAGTTTTTTGCTGCACAACTTTTTTGCTGAGATAAGAGTTTGGTGATTTTGTGAAGCATGTAAACAGCACTAGAGAAAGGTATTTTGACATACAATGTGACTGACCATAATCAAAATGCTTTTTCTCTATTTTAGTGTTCTTTTGGTGGCCACAGGTATGTGGGTTCCTCACGAAGTGAACTTTCCAGGTTCAGAATATGTTGAAGGTTATGAATCTGTGTCAATCGATCCAAAAGATTTTGTTGGACAGTCTGTATTGATCTTGGGTCGGGGAAATTCTGCCTTTGAAACAGCAGAGAACATTCTGGGTGTCACCAATTTTGTACACATGGTAGGCCGATCTCGAGTTCGTCTTTCTTGGGCTACTCATTACGTTGGAGATCTGAGGTAAGACTTCATATTCATATGTTTTGCTTTTTCATTGTAACCTATTAATATTTTGCCATATTTTTCATTACGTCCATTCTTTTCCCTCCATTTAAGTTATACATGTCTGAGGTGATTCTTTAGTTGGCTTAATGAATCAAGCTAGATTCATTTTGAATTCTAGCCTTTCTAATATTTCTATAAACTGGACTGTTGTATAATTCTAAGGAATCTGTCCCTCATTCCATCTCCCATATAGATCCTCTTGCTTCTGGATTTTAGTAAGCCTTTTGTGCAGCCATATCATTGTCTACTGCTGGATTGCGCTTCTTTGCTGGAATAGCTTCCAGTTGTTGTCTGTAATACCTCCGTTTTTAGGAACTCCACCCACTTAGAGCTCCTCTTCCTGCTAACTTCTCCAGTGACGGAATCCTACTCTCTGTTCATTAAAATCTTTCATGAAGTCCAAGATATGCTTTCAATTGTACTCAATTTCCTTTCAAATAATAACTACATTTTCTAATTTAAGTGTGCTTTTTGGTTTGCATCATATCAAGAATAACTGATTCTTATACCTTTGTTGACTCTGAAGGAAAAGCTGTTAAGAGGAGAAATCAATAATTTTCTGGAAGGATTGTGCTTTTCAGAATTCATCTCCCAACAGATGTTGGAACAACGTGTTTCCTACCATTTGGGGGTGGGGGTAACCCCGCAATTTGTTTTTTGAGGAAGGCACATCATCTTGGTTGGTCCAGTAAACAGAGATTAACTCTGCCTCTCTATTCTGGCTTGAGTAGAATGTAATATTATTTCAGAAGAACAGGCAGGCCAACATGAGACAGTTGGGGGGAGTGTTGTATAGACTAATAATTCAGACTGCCATATGCCAAACAGCCCATTTTTGCCCACTTTTTCTCTAGCAACCAGCCCATATGCAGCATCTATTTTGTTTGATAACAGTACTGCCCTGTGGTATCATTCCAAGCCTGATCTCCCTTTTCATGCCTGTCCCTCTCTTAACTGCTTAGACTTAAAGTAAATAGATCAGCAACTCTTTGAAGAACCTGGCAGAAGCATTTTGGTCACTGCTATTTGTTATAGAGTGGACCTTTTATTTTTGGTCTTCAATGAACAAGATATGGAATATCTGTGAGAGAAATATGGTATGAACAAGTACAGACCCGTAAGTGAGATATGCTTGATTTCAGTAAGACATAAAGTTGACATTTTGGGGGTTGGGGATGATGATGATCTCAAACAAGTCTGCTATAGCATGAAGCCCTTGCCACTTAATGTTATGGACCATAAATCTATCATGTTGATCCAATGTGGGTTGGTATATTTTTCAATCTCCCTGTTTAAGACTGAGAAAGAAGGTTTAACTCAAAGTCACCCAAATAGCTTCTGCATCTAAAGGAAGACTAGAACCTACCAACCTTTAGTCTAGTACCTTAACTCCTATGCTACAGAAAGATGGCCATTCACACCTTTTTAGTGTGAGTAGATTCAGGAAGTAATTTTTTTGATTATAACACGTGATTGTAAACCCTCATAAGAAAAAATAAAATAAAACCAAGACTGCTCCCTCACTTATTCTTTATGGTCTTCCACAAGGCATTCTGTTTTGTTACATTTTTAATCATCTTCCTAGTATATTTACAAAAGAAAATATAATAATTTGAAGTAAAACAAAAGTAATGTTTTCTCCATCAAAATACTAAAACTAACATAGGACATAATAGCAACACAGGAAGCTGCTTCATACCTAGCCAGAGAGCTTCTATATTTAATTTAGAATTGCTAAAATGAGTGGCAGCCATTTTTCTAAGTATGGCATGTAAAATTTACATCCCACTTATTGTTTCTTTCTTTCTTCCTTAGAGCAATTAACAATGGGCTCTTAGATACATACCAGTTGAAGTCTTTGGATGGACTTATAGAAGGTGATCTAGAAGACTTAGTTCTCATCAAAGACAGAAAAGGAAAGCTGCATATCACCCTTCGGTACTATTTGGAGAACAGCAATAGCAGTGACCCAGAATCTGTCACTCTTCCACAGGATGAATTAGACAACTTTGCCACTCGTGCACCTTATGACCGTGCCATTCGCTGCCTGGGTTGGAAGTTTGACTTTGCCATATTCAACAAGTAAGATGGGATTGCTTCTAATGTAACAGAGAGATAGGATGTTTGAAAGAGTTGATATCAGGAGTGTCAAACTCACAGCCCACGGACTGGATGCATCACATGCTGGCCATGGTCACCCCCATTTTAGCAAAGGGGGGAAAACTTGCAATACATCACATGATGACAACGTATCATTGTGAGTTTGACACCCTGGTTGATATGTATAGATAAGTATGTGGCATGGATGGAACTTTCTGAGTCGCAAGTCAAACAAAACATCATGCAAAATGCTTTCCCATCTTTTATTAAATGTAATATTTGCAGTATTTTATAATGATCTATTTCACGTTGGCAAAATTAGTTTTCCATAGTTTGGAGATTTGACTAAAGTGCTTAGCTATTCCCATGACATTTTCTTTTATCCTTCAAGGACTGCATGAGCAGTAAATTGTTCTTCTATCTTTTTTTTTTTCTCATGCAGCCATTTTGTTGTTCCTATCCCTTAATTCAGTCTAAAATAAAATAACAATTAATTGGTTTCCATTATTGCTTTAAATGTTTTAAATAGAACAAGATTATTATGTCACATATGAAACTTGCTTTGGTCTCCTTTAAAAAGCCAGTAGCTCTGCAGTTTGGGGTGCACTTATCTAAATATAATTGCATCATAATTCTGTTTAATTTCAGCGCAGCAATGTATGGGTATACTTTGGTTCTGTGCCCGAATTATAATATGTCTGGTTGTCAAGAAATTAAACTATAGCTCTCCAGAGCTCGTGACCCAGAGCCCCTCCTTTGGCAGGCAGCTCTTTCAGCCAGTCCCCAGAGATGAAAGGGAACTGAAACCTGAGTGGCAGGGCGTCAGGGTAAAGTAAAGAGTGGGGGCTGCTCCAGGCAAGTGGGAGATGTCCTAGGAGCCCCATGCAGGTTGCACTTGCACTTCTTCACTTGGGTGCTGAAAATCCTGCTTGAATTCTGGTAAGGAATACTGTCTACTTACAACCTAAGAGCTCATGTAACAACCATAACCAGGAGTGCCAGTCATTGAGAGAAGCAGTCACAAAGGGATCTTGCATAATAACCACTTTGCTCACTGACTGAGATTTTGGCCCTAGTTGTGGTTATAGGTCAAGGACTACTTGTAATGAAGGACCTGCAGCTCAGGCATAAGGATACCCAAGGTAACACGGTTGATATTATCTATCTTAAACATACATTTAGATAGTTGCCTTATGCCGAGAAAAAGTATCACTGGGAAAGAGATATTTCTTGAGCCTTTTAACATGGTCTCAAGATCAGAGCTCATACATTGTCCCTTCTATTGAAATCTGTGAAGTCAGCCAGACTCCATTCTCGATGAGTTTCTCTCCCCACTCCTCCCTAGGTCTCTTGGTTTGATGCATGGCAAAGGCAGTAAGAAGAAGTATCCTTTGATCAAGCCCAGCTATGAAGCCAAAGCTACTCGAGGTCTCTTTCTTCTCGGAACTGCAAGCCACTCAGTGGATTTCAGGAAATCTGCTGGTGGTTTTATTCATGGCTTCCGATACACAGGTGAGTTTTCGACATGGGTAGAAAGTGAATGTGAGCAAGCTCAGCAGTGACATTGTTCTGGTACTTGAGGCCCATCTCTCTTTTTTTCCTTTTAGCAAATTATTCCATTCTTTTTTCCATTTATCAACAGAAATAAAATAATGCGTTTTTTCAGCAATACCTTTTCTATTGTACACAATGATGAAAGTAGCAAATGCAAATGAAAAACACAACTAAATTTCAGCTTCAAAAGCCAATTAGCTATTATGCAACATATAAGCATTACACTGCCAAATACTTTTTTACGTATTGTAATAATATTGAAATTACAATTTCAATATGCCATAAAAGAAAATGGGTGGGAAAGGAAAAATAATATTCAGGTAGTACATTTACAACAGTTACCCACTATATCAAATATTCTCTAATCTTTCTCATTATTGCTACAAAGAAAAGCATTTTCTGGATGTCTCAGGAAATATTTGTGGTACTCCTGATATTTTTAAGCTAATTTCTGGCATCCCTCATCAGTTTTGGGAAGGACTCCCCAACAATGGTTGTGATATTACTAAATCTATCAGATGTGAAAGCCAATAAAGACTCAGAAATCTGAATTTGTAACTTCAAGAGTCAAAGAATAATGTAGTAACAGCATTATCCACCTTTTATCTTCTGCCTGCTATAATGTAAAACTATGCCAAATAGTAAGCTTTTTGGCTGTAGCCCAAAATTCACTTGTACATTTCAGTGGTCTTATTATTAGGGCAGTTCTCTTAGCATGTAATATTAAACGATAATATCTGCCTCTTTTGTTCTTCCCCCATTATCCAGCCCGTGCAGTTCATCGCTTACTAGAAGTCCGTCACCACAAAGTGCCCTGGCCAGCCTCCAACAATCCGGTTGTGCAGTTAACAAATGCTATTGTCAGGCGGGTGAATGAGGCATCTGGGCTCTATCAGATGTTTAGCGTGTTGGCAGACATCATTTTGCTGAAAGAGTGAGTGAACAGTGATACTCAGGGTTTTCTCCTTTAGAAACAGTGAATGGAATTGGTTAATTCCTGTGAGTAGAACTTCTGCCAAGCATAACCAAGAGGGAACTCATCCTTTTCTTCCTTCCCCTTCTTTGCCACTTTCATGACTCTATGAGTCCTCCAAGCCTGCTCTAAAGCAGCAGTCCCCAACCTTTGTGGCTGGGCGGCCTACCTGGAAAAGGGGTGAGGGGAACCAGGCTGTGCGAGCGGAGGCCTGCCTCTTGCACAGGTGGAGCTGCCCACTGCTCATGTGAATGGAGCTGCTCACATATGTACACCGGCCTACCTCTCACAAGGCCCAATTCCAAATAGGCCGTGGCCCAGTAGGGAGCCACGGCCCAGGGATTGGGGACCTCTGTTCTAAAGGGTTCATAATACCTGTAAAGTAGGTTCTGAGAGGCATAAGACCTGCCTTATCCATACAAGTAGTTTTCTATTCCTCCAATAACCGATTCTACCCAGTTTTTCCATAACAATCCTGTAAGGTAGATTGGGTGGAGAGTAAATGATTGGTCCAAAGTACAAGTCATTACTAGATTTAGCATTTAACCTTGTCTTTCCAATTTTAGTTGTTAACCATGTTACTTTGATTCTTTTATAATTAACACTCCTTCATGCTAAAGAGGACTGCTCTAAAACTGATCCTTTGAGAAGGATGTATCCGTGCAAAGGTTTATTTATATAGTGGGATTGATTCTAGTCACACAATTTTGTTCAGCCGAATTCCAAATCCAGTGAATGAACTAAAAGATTCAAGCAAGAGCATAATCAAAGTTTTTCTGTACTTTACAAAGCTGTTCCTTGTAATATTACAGTACTCTAATCTTTAGGTCATTAACATACAATTGACAGTGGTCAGATCTCTTTGAAGTACAGAGTTTAGCCAAGGGTACCACCATAGCTGATGCTTGATAATCATGGAATAAAGCAGAATTTCAAATTAGTTCCAAATGCTGAAGTAGCTATGGTAGAAAATGCAATCCTATTTTTAAAAATGCAATCCTATTTTTAAAAATTCCTTTGCAATCAGTTAACTGAACACATCAATGTTAGCCAACTTGCCTTGTTGTATTTGAAATTGATTTGTTTGATTGGTCCTAGGAATGCTACAAAATTTGAATACCTGGAGGAGTATCCAATTGGAGTCCTACAAGACCTGGAATGGCGCACAGGAAGAAAGGTGCAGGATGGACTTTTTGTCATTGTGATGGAGTATGGAAAGAACTTCTCTGGTCCTGACAAGGATGTCTTCTACTATAACCGTGCAGTAGGAGAGCCAGAGCATGCTTGGCAGTCTAACTTCCTGCATCCTGTAATTTATTATTATAAGCAACTTCCCACTGGTAAGCATTGTATTTTTTTTATTCCTTCTCCACTAATTACAGTGTTTTGTATAACGTTAAAAGTGTCAGAAAGTTGAATATATTTTAGTATGGTTTGCATAGCTTGATTGTGTGCTGATAGCATTCAGGAGGCATTAGGGAGGCAGTGATAGACACAGCAAAAAAGTGATCAGAGACAATTTTGACCACTTTGGATATGTTTTTATGTGTATTTTAACTGTTGATAGTTTTTAACTTGTTGGTTTTGATTGTGGTTGGCCTGTACCCAGCCCAGGACACAATATAAATAAAATGCTTTTTAAGGAAAGAAATTTCTCATGCTTTTACTGTTTTTTTCTTTGGACAGCACTTGATAGATAAGAAATTGATTCATGACCTACAAACTATTTTTTTCCTTTGCCCCAGACTTTTCCAAGGGTCTTCAACGACTTATGGCAATCCTTTTATTCTTTAAAAACTAGTAATTTCACTACCACCCCAAAAAAGGGGCACATGGGGAACATATCCCTCTCATAATGAGGCACTGATGAGATCCCTTAAATATTGGATATAGACATTTTAGTCAAGAGGAAAAAGGGTCATGTAAACTGAATAGGCCTTATCCTTGTACACTTTGTCCATGTCCTTACAATCTCCAAGGCAATAAAAAACCCCAAACCCGTCAAATTATAAGGAAAAATAATTGCTCAAACTGCATCTCTTGCAGTAAATGAGCAATTTTATTTGGAAATAATTATATACATTTTTAATGTGTATATATCTTGTTTATAGTCTTCTCTCAATTATGAAGTGATTTGGTGAGTACCATGACAACTGTATAAATAGAGTATGTTTTAGCTGGTTGAGTTTTGCAAATTACAATTTGACTGAAAGAATGAGTAAATAATATGTGGATGCTATTTTAACCCGGGGGGGGGGGGGTAGAGCAGGTAAACATACTCAACCGGCACCAAAATACTGTCTTTTCTAGTAATATCATCTGCCGTCATTTTTAGTTCTCCTATTGCCTCTGAAAAACCAAAAAAATCTTAGTGTACCTCATGCTTGCAAGGAGGTACCTCACATTAGGAAAATATAACTTGTTTGTGGAATTCTTGGTGCTCTGAATTTCGTTGTTTGCGTGTAGATGTTTCATTGCCCAATTAGATAACATTACCAATTATGTAACTTAATCAGGTAATGGAACATCTACATGCAAACAACCAAACTCAGAGAGCACCAAGGACTCCATAGTTCAGCCCTGAGCTACAAATATTCTCTTGTTCTTTTCTTTAATTGTCCTTTTGTTGTTGAATGTTAACTTGTAAAGCGAATTTCTGCAATCCAAGACTCTCTAGAGCAGGGGTCTCCAACCTTGGCCACTTTAAGACTTGTGGACTTCAACTCCCAGAATTCCTCAGCCAGCTTTGCTGAAGTCCACAAGTCTTAAAGTGGCCAAGGTTGGAGACCCCTGCTCTAGAGAGGGAGTGAAACTCTCAGCTTCCCAAATTAGTTTCTTGCCCATTGTTTTACTTTGTGCGCTCTCTCTCTCTTCCCGATAGAACGAGAAATGAGACTTTGCCCACCAGATTGGCCCTTGCCTCGCCCAGACGCAATCCATCATATTGTGGAAGATTTCCTGACTGACTGGACTGCACCAAATGCACATGTCCTCCCACTGAGACGTTTCTTGGAGAATTGCCTTGAAACTGATTTGCGCAGATTCTATGCAGGTATTCTGGGAACTCGTTAGGAATGAATCCTTAGGGAATAGCAGGCAGATAGGCTAGGTAACCATTACATTCCTTTCAGCCAAGATCTATGTTTACACATAATCAAAGTGGGTCTGTCTCTTGATCTTTGTGGAGTCCTTGGAAGGTAATAGTACCAGAGATATTGCAGTGAATTCATGATCACCTGAAATGAGCACAAGATTAAAAAAGGACAATTTGGACTTACAGCTAAAATATTTGTACTGAGAACTGCATATTAAAACTGGATTTAAGAGCTTTGTTTGTACTAGATTTCTGTGGATTTCCTGGCAAGAGCTTTATTTCTCTGGATTAGCATGCTAAAGGCAAAATGGTTTTTTTCAGACGTGTCATAAATACTAGTAAAGATATTTGCATATCTCTTTTCAGTCAAGGACTCCAGAAAGTCACAGTACCTGTTATGGGGAGATTGTAAACTCACAAGTCTCGTTCATCCATCTCCAGAGTTTGAACACTGAATGTGCAAAGATCTTCACATCTCTGTGCCCAAAGAAGCACATAGACATTTCTGTTTAGTTTTAGCTCTTGGGCAGACAAGCACAAACATATTGAGCTACATTTTGCCTGTACATTGTCTGTTTATGTTTCCTAAAAGAATAAGCTACATGTTTGGTTTGATATGGACCTATTACAATATATGAATACAGCTACCATATTTTACAGCTAAGCGTTAGTTGTGTTATACTTACAGCACAATGGACTCTGTAATACATCTACCCCACAAGCCAGAGAACTATTTAGAAGACAACAACGTCCATGTTTTTATATCAGAAAAGCAAAAAGTATAATTTATGGGGTGCTTCATATAGACCACCAACATTTTTTGAGTGTCCCCAAAACCCTCTTAAAGAATGAAATTAGCTAGTATACTGGGTTTTTTTGCATTTAGAGACAATTTGGCAGTTTTAATTGGTGCCTAAAGCCTTGTAGATGTTTTAAGGTACTGATTGTACCCTTTAAACTTCCTCCCCAGATGGGCATTTTTGAGGTATGAGCTCAAAATACCATGTAAAATCTGATGCTACTCTTATTTAACAAACTTTACCCAGATGTCCTTTATAAGATGAGATTTCAGTGAGCATTGACATTGACATATACACTTCACAATCTTAAGGATTGGAAAGTTGTATTACTGATTTTTTTTTTTAAGCTGAACTTCTGAGTCTTGAAAAACTGCTAAGTGGGTGATAACATGAGACTTTTCTCAACCCATTGTTTAATTCTTTTTCTGGTATGGAGTATAATTATATCTCAGAGTGGGTTAGCCTCTAACAATATTTCCCATTTCCTTATAATAGAGGCTTAAATGAACTCAGATTGTTGCTGATTCACATACTGTAGGAATCTTTGCTGGAGTTAGCAGATCAATTACAAACTAAGAACCATAATCTACTCAGCGGGTAAAAATGCTATTAGTGCTCACTACCATTCTGTTTCAGTTTTTGGATGTAACAATCTGTAAAGCATGCAATAGAGATCACTTTTTCCCTGTTTGTACAGAATCCTGCTTTCTGTTTGCCTTCACTCACTTGAAGCTGCCTCCCTTCTGCCAGCAAGGATACATGAGAAAGCAAGGGCTTGTGGGAACTGAAAAGCTTCAGCATCACAGAATAGCAGCAGAGTTGATTGAACATACAGCTATGAAGTCTCAAGGTGAACAAGAGAGTAGTGCTATGCAATCCCACAACCAGCTGCTGACAAGTACAAAGATATCTAGTCATCAGCTGCAACATCTTACAACCACCAAGGATGAACTTTAGCTTCCACCCAACTATTTCAAAATTCACAAGCGTTACAGCCACAATACATGGCAAAGATCTGCAGAGGAGCTCCAGCAACCAGTATTCCTAACCATTCCTAGATGAGGACCACATCTCATCCATACCATGTTCTTGCACAAATTTGCAGATCTTTATAAACACGAATGTTTACTTTCCTGGGTGGGAATGAACAGATGAGACTTTAATGGATACTGTTAGCCTCTAGAGGTGGAAAATTTTACGCATTTGAGAAGAGTGATGTTTCTAGGCCAGTAAGAGTTAATAGCTGATCCTGGCTCTTTTTATACCAGGTTTTCAAGATGCACTGTTGTTGTCATTAGTGTGTTCTGTAGAACTGGCATTGTTGAATGCCAGTCTGCTTATTTCAAGACAGAATGTTCTTGCATATTAACAGAGTATCACTTCTGTTTGCACTATGCCCCACTTAATTGAGTTTAGTCAAGTGGTTCCTATTTTATGCATTTTTCATATTTTTTTAAGGTAAAAGAGGTCTGTACTTTTTTGCACCTTTACCTCCAATGCATCGATTACTCTGACTTCCATTGAGTTGTGTGTAACAAACTGTAAATAATCCAAGCTCATTTCTTACTTATATCTTCTATCTGCTTGGCGGATAGAATGAGTAACATTCATACATTTTTTTCTTGTCTCAGCAGAGCGCATAAGAAATCCTTGTTTGGATTCCTGTCACACATTGCCTCAAGATGATGCCCTCCAGATTCATGAACTACATTTCCCAAAATTCTCAGCCATACATTGCCATGGCTAAACATTAAGGAAGGAAAAAAAATTATCAAATTAAACAAGGAGGACCAAAGTTTTGGGATAGTTCTGCAATTCGTTGGTTAGAGATGAGAGATACATTCCAATGTGTTTGAAAGTATAAAATTAGAAGATAGATAATACTGGGTTAGATAGGCCAATGGTATTCCTGAACACAAATTAGGAGTATTTATACAAGTCCAAAAAGATATTTGATATCACTTCTACCAGACATTTTTGGTTTGGTCGTATTAACATATGTGAAGATCATACAATTCTGTAATATAGGAAAAGTGTTAGAGAAGGAATTAGCTCCATTACCAAGCTAGAAACTAGTGTAAACCTCATTTAAATGATACTGATTCATACCGAGCTACCTCCGTTATTCAACCATATTACATCTATCTTCATTCTTGCCTCTTATTGTCCAGATATTGTTGCTATTTCCTAAATGTGTATGATCAGCACAGAAAACCTGAATGGAACATAATCCACTCCAGCTCAAGCATGAATATTCAATGACATACTTTGCATGGCTGATACTCAGATTAATATGAATATGCAATTGCTTTGGGAGTTAAGACTGGATATTAGTATGGTTTATTAAGCAAGGTTTGAGCTGTATGCAAGCCTTTTTCCCCCCCCCCAAAGGTCAGATTTTGCTACTGTTCCACAGAAAGCAGTGATATCTTGTTCTTTTCAGACTACCATATACTTACCATATACCTTATTCATTAAATATTCAGACATTTACAATAATTCCAAGGAGGAAAATGACAATTGCAGCTCCTTCATTTTGAGAATATTTGTCTTTTACAGAACAGTATTTTTATTAACTTAAAATACTTGTCAAGTTAATAAAATTAATCAGTGTAATTTAATTATGCAATAACTGGTGTACATTTATACTGTCTATATTTTGTACAGTTGTATTCTTTTGGATAAATCTTTTAAACTTTGTTGCTTGTATCCTGACAATTTATATAGACTGTTTTCTAGTATGATTTGATTGCTTATTGTACCCTATGATTATTATTAAGTGTTGTACCTTATGATTCTTGACAAATGTATCTTTTCTTTTATGTACACTGAGAGCATTTGCACCAAGACAAATTCCTTGTGTTCCCAATCACACTTGGCCAATAAAGAATTCTATCTATCTAAAACATTTTTATTTTATCATGAAACTAACAGCAGTAGGGTTTATGAAGTGGGAAAGACTCAAGAGCCTTTCAATCTTTCAGGATACAGATATGGTAGTTCTCAACTTACAACTGTATTTGGGCTCAGAATTCCAGTCACATATAATAGTGGTTATTAAGTAGATCACTACAGGACTGCGCCTGACTTTACAACCTTTTTAGTGGTGGCCATTAAGCAAACCTGTTCTCACTAATGGTTACTACAGAAATTAAAAGTAAATGCTGAAACCCAGCAAAACCCATCAAAAGTCACAGTGAAATGACTGGGATGCTGCAAATGCGTCTAAATGTGAGCTGGTTGCCAAGTGCTCAAATACAACCAGGACCAGGAGGGGTGCAGCCATCAGAACTTCAAAAATGGATTGTAAAATGCTTGGGGAGATCCACTGTAACTTCAGCCAGTAGCTAAGCAAAGACTACCTGTAGGTCCAAAAAAAAATTCAGAACAGAGCAATCTTTTGTGAGGTCCGAAAACAACCAAAAAAAGTGGCACATTGCCCTGTTGCATTTCCCCACACAAAGCATTAACATTTTGAATTAGACAATCGTTTCTTCAAAATCTTTATTTGTGGTACAGGTAGATCCAAACATATTTTAAGTGTTTACTTTTAAAAAGATTTAGAAACTAAAAATTTAACCACATGCTATTAGCTTGTCCATTTGTTTTTGTGTCCATATTTTTGTGTCTGTTTTTGCATTCAGGCTTTAATGCTGCAATATTTTCTTGGATATGAATGCAGAGCCATTCCCAAAGGCACCACTGAACTGTAATTCTTAAAAGACAATTCAGAATATAGGAATAAGCTGTGATTATATTTAATTTAATATATTTAATTTAAATAATTACATTTTGTATTTCATTAATATATTTTTATATCACCCAGACTAGTTGGAATGTAGTTATGGCTTACTATTCAAAAATGAAGTGCCTCCTTTGGCCCCAAAAAGGTATTAGGCACATAAGGACTAAAAATTAGTTCCATTTTGCCTTTTAAAAGAAAGAATTTAAATACTGCAATTCTGCAAAAGCAGCCCTGGAGCAACATTGTTGAAAACTATGTAATGCTGTTGTAGTAGTAACAGTAGGAAAAGCCCCTTCACTGGACATTTAATAAAATAATAATAAACTACATTATAACAATGCAAGTTTCATAAAACCAGTAAGCAGTTTGCAATACGATGAAGTGATGACTTAACTAATGCATAGCTTTTTAAATTAAATTATATAACAGCTATTGTACAAACTTAGTGGTGTTTCTTATATTGAAACTTGGCAAGTATAGTACCTACATGAAATGCATAATGCACAGAAACTCATTTTTATAGCTACCTAGTTCACTGGAGGCAACTTGGGGCAGCACAAAAATTATATATTGAAATCTCTCTCACATATACGCGCCCTCACAGGAAAAGAATATGACCTCATAATATCTTAAAAAACAATATCCTAATCGAAGGGAGAATTTTTAAAACAATGCTCAACAACGGAGCCGTTATCTTTCTCCCGTGTTAATAGATTTTATTAAGTGCCATGCTGTTCATAATATAAATTCATGCAATTCGGTGCAGATTGTTTGCCAGTTTGATGTACTGGTTAAGATGCTGACCGAGAAAGATTTGAGTTTAGATTTATATTTTAAAAGTCAGGATAATTGGATTTCAGAATAGTAGGTTACAGTTACTATAATTAATTTCAGAAACCGATTAACTAAGCCAAGCACAAACACGGGCGCTTTAAAAAAAACCTAAAGACCCAAAGTTTTTACTTCACATTTCAGTCCGTTAAGGAAACTACCGACTTTCCCACACACAGCCCGGGTATTCCAACCCCGCCCGCAGCGAATTTGAGCAAACACAGAGCCGAACGCACGTCCGCCATTGGTGCAGTAAGAAGAGGCGGAGAGGTCAGATTTCCCGCTCGAGCCAATCGCCACCCAGGCTGAACAGTTTCTTCCCTTTCTCTCTTAACCAATAAGCACGTTAGGATATGCTTACTGCTCTCCGCTTTACCCAATCCACTACCATAGTTGTCAAACAGTTTCCTTTCGACAGCCAATCACCACGAGAGTAGTTATGGTTGCGTTCTAAAGCTGCGTCCATTCGTCCAATCAGCTCCCGGAAGATCGTTCCGTTTTTTGATTCTCCAGGGTGGCCGTGAGGGGCTCTGCGGGGGGTGTGAAGGTGAGAGGTGGGGGAGCGGTTGCCCCGGGGGCCATTTATTATTATTATTATTTTCATGTCGGGGAATAAGGGAGCCCTTAAGAGTCACTCTTCACAGTGGAGGGGAAGGTGGTATATAATGAGGACGGCGTGCACGTACAGTATTCAGGGCTGTCTGCAAGTGGGAAATAGCTGCTGAAGAAATGGAGGTACCAGTGGGAGATTGACAGGCAGGCAGGTCGGGTTTAATTTTCAACAAAGCTGCTTTCTCCTGGAGGAGCTATCCTAATACAGACTAAAGAGAGGACGACCTTGGAACATGTGCAGAATGCGATTGCCTCATCCCTGCAACCGCGTGTCTTAAGTTTGTGAGGAGGTGGGGGGGGGGTGCTTTTCAGACCTGGAAGTAAGATTTTCGGATAAAGAATTTATTATCAGGACGTTTCAGAAATCCAGGTTAAAGTAAGGGAAGTTGAACCAGGTAGCACTGCCAGGGTAATATTTTGGCAGAAATTCTGATCCTTGTTAAATTGAGAATATTTAGAAAAGTGTTTTACCTTAGCTACAAGTTTGCTTTGGTTAATGCCAAAACATCCAGGCCAAGGAGTTAGTGAGCATAGATTTAAATTAAGACAAGGTAGTAATCTGCACTTCATTTATATGGGGCCCAAAACGATAAAGAAGTATTCTGGATAAAATATTGGCCTAGCTTTACATTTGCTTGAATAAAACAAATTTGACAGTTAATGGGATCTTAATTTTGTTAGCACACTTTAGTAAATTTTCAAGATGTTGATTTTGAATGTAAAATGATTATTAAAATGTGAAATTCTGGAGGAAATGTATTTTAAAGCAGATACTCCATCTTCTCTCCCAAACCCTTCAACAATCAAATTCACTATGCTTAAAGATGACTGTATTTGCAATACTGCCTTCTTTCTTTATATTTGTAGTTTGTATGAAAGTAGTTTGCTGTTGTGGAATAATGCTGTTAACAAAATTGTTGTGTGGTCTAGATAATATAAGTGTAAAAGTGTTCAATATTAATATCATAGCCATGCATCCTGGCTGTGATATCTCTTTCAAGGCTCTATCAATATTTTATAGACATACTGGTAGTATGCAAAATAAATAAAGTAGGCAAAATAAATATGTTATGGTTGTCCACCAGACAGAATATATTGGAAATGAATCTCTTTGAATGGCATTGGCAAGTTGTTTAGTATCACTTAACTATTATACCTTATCCATTATTTATAATTAAAATTGTAAATAATTTAGCTTCATTGACTTACTCAGATGATATAGTAATAATGATGTGCTATTTAAAAAGGCTATTTGTATTATGATATCAATAAGTATATTTCAATAATATACCGGAACCATGATGTCCCAGGACAGAAGGCCTTGCTTTTAGGTAAAAGAAACAGCAAATCGAAACAAATTATTCACTCCCAACTTAGACTATAAGATGGGAAAACCAAGAGAAATTAAGCAGATGTTTAACAGATAATCAGAGTTGGAAGGGATCTTGTAGATCATCTAATCCAAACCTCCCCCCCCCCTCCAAGCGGGAGACCCTACACCATTTCTGGCAAATGGGGAGTCCAATCTCTTCTTGAAAGTCTCAAGTGATGGCGCTCCCACAACTTCCGAGGGCAAGCTGTTCTACTGGTTGATTGTTCTCGCTGTCAGATAGGCTTAGAAAATAAGCCAGCTCAGAGAATCTGGAGTTCTTGAGAAATGTCTATAGTGCTTTAAAGACTGGTTCATGATTCAGAAAATTAAAGTCACTTCTTTTCTTTTCATTAACCACAATTTTAGTATGGGCTTTTGCCATTTCATAGTAAATCTAGGCAGCCCATAGTATATATTCCAAATGGAAAAATGTGATATAGCAAGCTAGAGGTAAGAATCTGATCATTCTTTCTTTGCCCAGTGGGTAGGTGCGCCCGCAATATATACAGTAAAATAAAAATACCAGCATATTTTAAGCAGCACGTGGCATGTATAAAATACACTGAATTGCAGCAGAATGCAAAGGGTAGCCCAAGTACTATTGGGAGTTATGAGATAGCCCACATTGAACACAGCAAAGGTATATATCAAAGGAAACTGTTTTGGGAAATTGGCAATAGTTGGGGAAAGTGAATGGGAAATTATGGAATCAGTTGGTAAGGGATCAAAATAGCAACAGAATGGGTAGGCTAGAGGGCAGTGAAAATGTAGGTAGTTTTTAGGGTCACTGTTTGCTCCTTATGATACTTTTGTTTGTCTTTTTCCTAGATGGCCCAAAATCTCTTCAGATCATTGTTATCTACTCCGGTCAAGCGTCTCACGCCAGTGCTTCATCCCAGACCTTCACTGCTTCTGTACAGAGTTTCAGCTCTGCCATGCAGGAGACCCTGGTGTACTTCCTTTGCGTTTCCCGCTATGCCTTCTCAGACTAGGACATTTTCTACTACTCAGGTCTGTTTGCATACTTTTAATGTCCAAGATGAGGATGACTTCCAAGACAGAGTTTTGAAAAGTCAAAAACCAGTGGTGATAGATTTCCACGCCCAGTAAGTATGGTGTATATGACTTGGTTACAAAACTTTCACATTCCTTAGTGTGCTCTGTATGTATTATAAACTATGGGTTATGACTTTGGTTACCTAGATGCCATAGGATAACTGAGAAGCTATATTACTGTTTACATCCTCCTTTTCTCTTACTCGGCAACATAACATTTTAAACCAGTGGTCCTTAACTTTTCCACCTTGGCAGCCAGGCTTGGAGTGGAGGCGGGAGTGTCAGTGGCAGGTGCGCACACACAGCTCCATTGGTGTGAGTGGCAGACATGCAGTCCTCCACTTGTGCTCGTGTGCAAAGCTCCATTTGTGTGAATGGAAGGCACTCGCATGTGTATCTCCATTTGCGCAAATGGAGTTTCACGCGCAAGCATAAGTGCGCTCTGCTCATGTAGAGCACAAGGGCCCGCCGCTCAGCACAAAGCTACACACAAGTGGCAGGCCCTTGCTCTTGTGCACAAAATTCCACTTGCATGTGTTGAAGGTGCTTGAGCAGAGGGCACTTGTACTCGCACACAAAGCTCCATTTGCATGAATGAAGCATTCTCTACTCACTTGAGTGGAGCACGCATGAGTGGAATGTGCTTGCTCTAGTGCGCAAAGCTCCATTTATGGCAGTGGATGGCGCTTGTGCTTGCTCATGAAGCTTCACTCGCATGAGCAGAGTCCTCGTGCATGGGGCTTCCTTTGCACAAATAAAGCTTCGTATGTGAGTGCCCTCCACTCACGAGTGGAACTTCTGCGTGAGCACAAGGGGCTGCCACTCACGCAAGTGGAGCTTCTCATGAGAGTTTAAGGACCTGCCACTTGCACAAGTGGAGCTTCATGCATAAGCTCAAGGGCCTGTCACTACACACACATGCTTGCCCATCACTCACATGGCCGGGTTTCAAACAGGCCCTGGACCATAGTTTGGGGACCCCTGTTCTACCCATTTGAGTAGAATTAACATTTTAAATGTCATCTTACAATTCTTTTTCTCGTGAAACACTGAAAGAAAAGCCATTAGTGCTCTTCAATTTTTTGAAAAGGAAGATGCATATTTACTTTATTGGTACTTGTTTTCATCAAAGCATAGGCAGATACAAGTTAACAGAGCATTAGCTAATCAATAAAAATAAGGCACTGTTGCTTGGAAGTGTTCTACCAATTAATAGAGGAAACCATACAGATGTTTTTATAATGCAATCTCATGTGCATTTCTTTATGGGAATATAATCCTCTGGTTATTAGACTCTTGAAACATTTACCGGCTGTTACCTCCTTCCTATTTCTAAATATAAAACAAAGGATATCAAAAAAGATGTGAGAGATTATGTAAAATGAAGTGCAGTGTGGCAGAATGGGATACAAACCATGTTGAAGATTCATCCTTTTCTACAGAAGAAAAAAAAATTAAAAGCCAGACAAAGAACTTTCAGAACACCAGCAGGAATGGGTACATTTAAATTTTGACATACGTTTCCTGCTCTCTCGATTTCTAAATTCTATTGTACAGCTGACATGGAAAACATCAAAAATAAAGGGTCAAATCAGGAAGTACTTCAGTTTCAAAGTGGTAAAGGTAAACAATATATACCATCCCATTTTAATCTGTTTTATTTTACCTACTTGGCAGCTGGACTACAGTTCTTGTTAATGTGCCACAGGTGAATGGTGAATTCTATTTAACAATTTTCTGCCTTATCAATCTTATGTTTTTTTTTGAGGGAGTGGCAGTTTGAATAGTACACCCAAAAGAAGGGATGATAGCTAGGATTATTTCCAAGCACTAAATTCACTCTACAGACTTGTGTAAAGTTATTTAAATTATATACTTTCTTGCAGTTCTGTGTTGCTCCATAAATTTTTTTATTGATGGGCATAGATAATAGAATATTGATTTGGGAGGGGGTGTTGAGATACCTTGTTATATCTATTATTCTGCTCCATATGTAATATATTGAAACCATTTTCTGATTCTCTTAGGGTTTTCTTTTTTCATTCTTTGAAACAATGTAAATGCCTTACACAGACTAACTGCTGAATACTTGTTCTCATAACACCCTGCTGTGGCTGTAACATCTGAAAATATCAAATAGTGGCTCAGTGTGCTAAAGCTACTTCCTATAATATGGTATCAGTTTCCAAAGCTACAAGAAATTGTAAATACTATTGTGATACTGAGAATTTGTTTTGGCAATTACTGATTTATCATACAATGTTTCAATGATATAAGATCAAAATAGCTGCAGCAAAAAACTAGTATGTAAAAATCAGATCAAAAATCACCTGGTCAACAATTTAGCATCATATTTTCATTTCTTGTTGATTTTTTTTAACTAACAGCATGTATGAAAGACTTTCCATTATGAAAAATTAACTGTATAAACTATAGTAGCTATAACTAAGAACTGTGATGGCTTAAACTTCTCTTTCAAACAGCCAAATTAGTATAGAAGATATGAACCTTGTCCCTTACTTGTCCTTGTTCAAATCTCTATTTTGCCTGTTGTACAATATTTGGGAACAAATTACTGCAAAGTACATACTAGTAAAACAAATAGGCATAGGTGGTGCTCTTCTTTCATTAGTATGTACATGTATGGAGAAAGATACTCTGATATATAGTAAATTCATGATTATGAGCTGCCTTGTTAGTTTGGACGACAATTTTATATGCCCTCTTTAATATAGCTTTCCTCTTCTTTTTGGAAAGAAATGTGGGTTTCTGTTGGCTAGAAGGCTCATAAGATTCTGAAATGGTTTTGGTAAATATAGTTTTTTTGTTGTTGTTGCTCTTATTTTGCCCTTAGCATAAACAATATGCAAGAGGCTTAAGAATACCCTGCAGTAAAATATTCTGAGTGGTTTGTAAGCAGCAGGTTTTAAATCTTGGCACATAAACTACCAAACAAAATACGGACTCGTATATCATCTCTTAATGTAACAATCCAGGCATCACCATTAAACCTGATACTTCAGTATTCAGAGGCTTCTTAAAGCAGATGCTTATCCTTATGCTTTGGGAAGTATCTTTTTAAAAACCTGTTGATATTCCTTTTTCCTCATTGAACTCTAATGTCTTTCTTTCTTCTGAGATGGTGTGGTCCCTGCAAAATCCTGGGTCCCAGACTAGAAAAGGTGGTGTCCAAACATGAAGGGAAAATTCTGATGGCGAAAGTGGACATTGATGATCATACTGATCTTGCCCTTGAATATGAGGTATGTCCCTGCATATTATGTAGAGCTCTAAACTACTTTATTTTTGTTTGTTCTGCTCACTATTTCAGATTTTGGCAAGAAAGAGTAATAGAATCTGTGACTGCTTGGCATATAGCACATAAAATAAAAATGAGAAAGATGTACTGGATTACTATTTCCAGAATTTGCACAGTTGCAAATCTAACATACCTAGGTAGGAAATAATAGGTCTGGAATCAAATAAATTGTGGGAGACATAGCAAAATAGTTACAGCCATTCTAGGTCTGAAATCAAGATGCATCCGTAATGGTATATGAGGCATTTTTTTAAATAGTGAGACATATTGATCTTCATTGTGTGGGAAATTGAACTGAAGAATGACTGACTCATGAAGGAAAAAGAAAATTATTAGGTAGGCCATGTTATTGGGCTTAAAGTAGCCTTCAAATTGCCTGGGAATAGTGAAAATTATAATTTAGCACTGGAAAGTCAAAGAACATCCCTGGGAAAGGAAATTGAAAACTATTTCTGCATTGTTGCCCCCCAAAACCCTGCATAGATTTGTCCATGAAGTCACCAGGAGACAAGCTTAGTCCAAATGAGACTTTGGCTTTATTAAAGCTCTTGGCTGTTCTTGTCTGGATTTGGAAATTAAATCACAGTAGTTTGCACCAGGTTAATATTTGATGGAAGATTACCAGGGAATCGGCCAAAGACTAGGAGACTGAGAGATCAAAAATCATGCAGAAAGAATGCCACAGAATCCAACCTCAGGCCCATGGCCAAGAATACTCCATGAACATGTCTGAAAATTCCACATGTTAAGCTCAACTCAGAAGACACTCAACTTTACTATTAAGGATTGGACAAGGAAGAGTTTATAATAACCTCTGATACAAGATCCATAATCTTAAAAAAAAAAATCCCATCTCTAGAAAACAGTAAGATGTAGCAACTCCTTCAGAACAGAGGGGGAAGAAGGGAGCAAGAAATTAATTTTGCTTTCAGAATTCTTTACAAATCTAGATTCAATATTTATGAGCAGCAGGACTTTGCCAGTTTCCACCTGAAGAACTCATGTATTTCTATATTTTGTTTGTGTTGTTATAAAAGTTGAAAGAATGCAGAAGACATACAAATACAAGATGGAAACTTAGATCTCCCTCACTACTCGCACCCCACTGAGGGGTAAACATACAGCTCAGTGGTATGCAGAAGGTCTGGGCTTATATCCCAGTATTTTCATTACATGGAGAGAGAAGGAGCTACTTAAAAACTTGAAAAGTTAGTGGAAACGGGCAATATATGCTGAACTTGATGCAAGTGATCCATGACTGCAGTGCAGTTTCATCAAGCAGATCCCTTAAGATCCTAAATCATCTCCTCCTGCTAGGGTTTTTCAAAGTTCCCTTTACAATGCTGTAGATTGTCAACAAATTGCCAGTATACCTCCCACTCGTCTTTGCTGCCCTCACCCACTTCTGTTTACAAGACAGCTGATATCTAGGCCCAAGCATTTCGCAATATCCTTTCTGGAGCACATTCTTTAGAAGAGAGTGAGAGGCTCCCCCTTTGTATGCTTGGAATGCTTGTGCATTCTTGACATAAGTCCTGGCTTGCTCCTGGCTCCAACTTGTCCCAGAGGAGCAACCATCCACGAACTGTTTCCTGATCTAAAAAAAAAAAAACCTGCAAGGATTCTTCCTAGAAAGGATACTTTGTCTAGTTTCCAAATTGGGAAGGAGTTTGAACTCCTAGGGACAGGACCCTTTCTCTGCTGTGTTGTCAGAACCATTCTGAGTGAAGAGACCTTTGATTTCCTGCAGACTTATTTTTTACTACAGCCTTGATCACGTCTAGCTAGTGTCCCAAACAATGGATGCTCTGAACAGCTCATCTGGAGAAAGGGGCGTTGGTACTTACCTGACACGCCCTTTCTCTGTGGGCTGTGAAGAGCATCCATCCCCACCCTTATTCGTCTGGTGGGATGCTATTCCGGCCAAGTATTAGAAAGGGTGAAGGAGAAGAAATATTTCATCACTTCGACTTCGCCAAAACTGGGGATGCTAGGGAGGAGTCCCGTGGAGGAGGAGGAGCGTCCTCTCAATTAAAGCCCAGCTTATCAAACGAGCGACAGAAGCATCATCCCAAACAATGGATGCTCTTCACAGCTCACAGAGAAAGGGCGTGTCAGGTAAGTACCAACGCCCCTTCTACTTCAATTTATTTTGCAAGGCTTAATTTAACTAAAGAGTCTGAGAGGGTCTTGGTTGGATACAAAGTGATTGGAAGACATATACTGATTGATCTATACTGATCTGCACTCAGAAACGGAATAGTTTTCAGCTGCAGCTCAGAAAAATTGGTTCCTCCATTCTACAGTCCACAGTCAAAGCTGAGCCACCAGTTTTCCTATGTGACTTTAGAGCAGTTTTTTGTAAAGCCCGATTCTCCCTCTGCAAATGAAATGGGAATTTGGCAAAAGGAGTGCCGAGCCCTTGCCTCAACCTCTTTTATTTTATTTGGCCCCAAAAAGACAGAGATAAAAATGAACGTAATTAGAATAGTTAAACTCTTGCCAGAAGGGAGGGGTGCACTGGGATGCATTTCGAGGGCCTGTTTGAAGTATTAGGGCTGAACCCTAGAGGGCACTGAAGGACATCGGACAAAACTGAGTGATTTGACTGTTAAACAGAGTATGATCTGTATTTCTTTTTTAAACCCATCCTGGATTACCATGGGGTGTGGCACCCTCAAGAAGTCAGCTTGCATTGGCCAGCAGAGGAAAAGCAGAGACTAGTAAAAGCAGGCCTTTAAGTCTGGGGTTTGACAGATTGCTGATGGCAGCAAGATGCTGGGCAGCTGAATGCATATTTGATGAGAGAGCGCATTCCAGGGAAGAATAGCATACAAGATAAAGATGGGACATGACCCCTGTCTAAGATAAGGGTGCCAGAGGAGCTGTGGAATGCATCAGCCTCTTCTGAGATTTTTATAGATTCCTTCAAATCATTCTCTGCACGCATAAAGGGCTGGGGCTGGGTTATAGTTAGGGGAGGGGCTAGCTTGTGGTTTTAAAACTTTCCCAAATTACACTTTTTGACATCAGCTTGTTCAGAGCTCCTTGGGCATTTCTCTTACTGTATGTCTCATTGGTAATAAGACATTTATATTGAAAGGCCAATAAGATTTGGGGTTTACAAGAAGGGAGGCGAATCAACATTGCTATTTGGCTGTGTTGTATGGTTATTCAGCATTGTGCTGCAGAAGTGCAGAAATTTAAAGACATAACGAATCAGTTCATGCATGTATGAATTCATATTTGGAGCTAAATGTTTTTTGCTAGCTGTTGTGACTAGTTTTTGACTGGCTGAGGCTGTGAAGTTGGACAAGAATAGTACAGGATAGGATAGGCCTCAGTGCTTAGATCCTCCCTGTGAGAAACAGAACTGTGCAAATAATTTTTATTTATTTATTTATGTCAGTTGCTTGCAATATAATAGGTATAAGTAAAAACATACTTATGAATACATGGATACATATAAGAAAAATAAAATAAATAAAATAAAAGAAACAATAGGACAGGGATGGTAGGCACGTTGGTGCGCTTATGCACTCCCCCTATAGACCTCTTAGGAAAGGGGTGAGGTCAATACTAGACAGTCTAAGGTTAAAGTTTTTGGGTTTTGGGGAAGAAACCACAGAGTCAGGTAGAGTATTCCAGACATTGACCACTCTGTTGCTGAAGTCGTATTTCCTGCAGTGAAGTTTGGTGCGATTAATCTTGAGTTTGTATCTATTGTTTCCTCTTGTGTTGTTATGGTTGAAGCTGAAGTATTCATTGAGAAGTAGGATATTGTAATGTATGATTTTATATACTATACTTAGATCAGGCCAAAGGCAGCGTAGTTCTAGGTTTTCTAGGTCTAGAATTTAGAGTCTGGTGGCATAAGGTATTCTGCAATGAGTAGAGGAGTGGAGAACTCTTCTTGTGAAATATTTCTGGACTTTCTCAACTGTATTAATATCCGATACGTAATGTGGGTTCCAAACTGATGAGCCGTATTCGAGTATTAGTCTAGCAAATGTTTTGTATGCTCTAGTTATTAGTGTAATATTATGTTATTAGTTATTAGTGTAATATGTTTGTGTCTGATTTCACACTCTTGTTTTTAAAGATGATACTGTTTTCATGCTTCTGAAGACTTGCCTAGATTCATTTTCTCCTCACTCTTTTGTGTATCTCATTAAAACGAGCTAAGCATAAATGGCTCTCCAAAAATTGTCTTTAAAATCTCGGGCAGAAAAAAATTGGATGGATAATTTCTGTGGACTTTTGCCGGGCAAAGAGAAATTCTCAGAGGATTGTTCAAGATATGACTCCCCTTTTGTGGTGATAGCTCAATTTCTGAAAATGCAGTGGGAGGATGTTCCGGCATGATGTTTTCCCTTGGGATTGAATTGAAGTGTGGGAAGCCAGGATAGCTGTAAATCACCAGAGAGATGATTGCACAATGAAAGACAAGACATTATGTACATGTCCCTTAGCTACTTTTTAAGCTAAATCAATGAAAGAATGCCATATTGCATCTATGAGATTTTTTTCAGGACTTCATTTTTAAAGAATTTCCAAGCCAAATTCTTTTTCATCAGATTGTATGAAAATACATAAGACAAATATAGAGGGAAATATCTTCATTTAGTACTAGATAAAACCACTGTCAGGGAAAAGGGAAGAAAAATTACTTGGTATAGTAGCAGTGTTTCTGGCATTGTTGCTATATATAACAGTATTAGTTGCTGAATCAAAAATGGCAATTTTGGTCGAGAAATAACCAAGGAGTGAAAGAGGACCTGCTTAAAAGCTTATTTAATCGTAACTGACAAGATGATCTTCCTTAGCCTTTATCCATTCAATAAGCTCCGTAACACTCTGTAGTTGGGATGCCAGGACTTGTAAAATTCAGAAGTAACAGGCAACCATGTTTCTCTGCACCTACACATACCATATCACAAAAGCAGGCTACCTCATCATCTCTTTTGAAGAGCTTCATTTCAAAGAGTGATGCTATCCCTTTAGACTTAAATAAAGTTTAGCCTTCTCATCTTTACTCAGCAGTTTTAAATCCTATTCATTCCAGCTGTGGAAAAGCAATGTATTTTTAAAATTGGTCAGTTTTCTTCCTCTGAAAAATACATCATTTTTTTACTTGAAGATCTCTTTGTGCTTAGTAAATAGCATGAACTTGATTTAAAATTGATTTGTTAATCGAAAATGGGTTTTCTGGTCCTCTAGAAAAGAATCTTTTCCAGGTTGGCCTCTTCAGGTGTGTTGTGTTGCAACTTACAGCCTGTGCCAGGTGATCACAAATCTGGACAGCACCAACTTGGGGAAAAGCTAGTGGTTAGACCAAGCTGGGATGGATTTACTAACATCTCCGAGTTAGAATATTTGTATCCCTTTATGTAGAAGTCTTGACATAAAGTGGACTTTAAAGACATTTTCCAAAATGAAGTTCAATACTGCTAAATTTTCAGGGAACTTTCTAACAGGAAGAGTTAATCATTCACCTTTCAATATATCCTTTGTTTTAATGTTTGCTTTGCCTCTCAAAATGATGTTCACAGGTCAGTGGAGCTTAGCTATTATTGTGCTTATGCCTTTTCTTTTGTGCTCTTGTTCTTAGGTGTCAGCTGTACCCACTGTCTTAGCCATGAAGAATGGTGATGTGGTGGATAAGTTTGTGGGAATCAAAGATGAAGATCAATTAGAAGCTTTTCTCAAAAAACTCATTGGACCCTGAGCAGCAAGGACAGTTGTGTTCTCCAAGCCAAGGCTTTCTCTATTTGTCCTTTTTTAAAAACACACACATATATACCTGTTTCCTTAGAGGGGAACGGGAGAAATTGCATAGTTGGACTAGCATCTGTTTTTTTGAAGAGAGTGGATGATGGCTGCTTCCCACTTCTTCTGGGGGAGTGGTGCTAGTAGTTCCTAGTGCGGTGAAAAGGCTGATTGCTCTGCGATAGAGAAAGACTGGAGATTACTGCCTACTAGCAAATGCCCGACGACAAGAAAGTCTTCCTAATATATAGCAGCCTCTTCTTAATGTACTTTCTCATACATCTTGGAGACACTTCCCGTTCCTGTCCAATGTAAAACTCAACATGGTTAATTATTGCTGCTTATGGCAGCAGCAGTTCTGCTTCATCTCTGCAGCATTCCTCCTTTGTTTAGTGGTAGGTTGAAATCATTTGCAGTTTTGGACAGTAGCCTCAGTGCCTCTCCTGCTGTCATCTATTAAATTGAGAGAAACATTGATTGATTGGAGCCTTTTTATTAGTAGATCTATAATAAAAATAGCTGTAATTATTCCATTTTCTGTTGGTATAGAATTCCCCTTCTGCAGGAAAATAAAGTTGTTCAATATAGCTTGAGTGGTATAGGGTGGAATATGGAATATGAATAAGGAAGAGTTTGGCATTAAACCTTTGCTAGTCCACAGACACAAAGCCTTTTGTGAGAAGAAACGGTTCCCCTCTTTTTTGCCTAGGCATTTTATCTCCAAACATATTGGGGGAAATCAATGCATTAGAAGTGCTTTTTTAAAGAACCATTGAAAGAAAATTCTTTTTCATGCCACTTTCCACTCATTTTTAATCTATTCTCTATAAATGATAAATCAAGTCAAATTTAAATTTCACAATGTTTTAATTTCAGGCCAGATGTCCAATTTATTCAGATTTTGCTATGGATTTTTACATTTTCATAAATTATGGGGGGGGGGGGGTTACTGCTAGATTGTAACATTAAAGAAATTAGGTTTCCTTTATTGACTATAAGGAAGTTGAGCAGAAAAATTCATTTTCTCTTCTTTAACAAATAAAACACCTAGTAGAAAGATAGCATCTCTGTGAAGCGTCCTTGTTCTGTACAAATATACAGTCTTTGCATTTTAAATATTAAAGAAATTAAAAGAAAAACAATCCAACCACATGGTGCCTTTAATAAATTCAATTATATCCTTATTGCCTCTATAGACTTTTAAACGATATGTCAAAACTCCAGCTACTTATGGGTAGAATCCGAACTACCATGGATCTATTGAAAGTGAAATGCTTCAGTTTGTTTCTCTGTCATCTGAGATGGGGTTTTTTTTACACCCCCTTCTTTTACTCAGCAATAGAACATAGAAATATTTTAGTATTGGTCATAGAAACATGAGAATGGTCAGAGGTTGCCTTCACATGTTACTACAGAGCAGTATTTTCAACCACATTAAGATGTCTCAAGTCCAATTCCCAAAATTCCCCAGCCATCATGCTGAGAAATTCTGAGAGTCCAAATATCATATATTTACTAAGGTTGAAAAATATTGCTATAAAGTGTGACTTGTTAATGTGTTGTTTGAAACCAGCCTTATAAAATGGGTAGACGACCTATGGCTTCCTGTGTTCTTCAAACCCAGCCAATAGTTTATTTAGCAAATCATGCAGAGGGTGATAGGTCAACAGTATCAGTAATTAATGAATTATGAAGACTCTTAACATTGTCCTTTTTGTTGATGTCCTAGATTAGATGGACATAATGTTTTAAACAGTCTCAAAATGGAAGCAGATTTTGCTCTATTTCTGCCTTGTTCTGTTACACATTTCCTATAGTAATAAGGATATTAGTCTGTGCCAGGATAATGCATACAAATGGCTCCTGTTGAAGAACAGGATGTTCTGTGAGCTTGTCATCAATCCAGTAAAGTTATTCTAAATCTTTATTGCAGAAGTTCATTAAATTTGGGGGGAGTTCTAGTCTGGAATTAGCTTGCTATACCATCTTGGCCTTCAGGTCATATCTGATGCTGTTAGTGCACCGACATAGCTGAAATAGGTTGATTTTAAATCAGGGACAACTAACAAAAGGCCCCAAATTTCATGCAGTCCCATTGATCTATTTAATAACCCCTGGAACTATTTTTCTGAAAATGCCAGCATGTTTTCTACTATTTTCAAGTGGGAAATATGGAAATGCTACACTCTGATTGTACAGTTAGTACAATTAACCAAAGCTCACGTCAGCTACTGTGTCTTTATGAGATTTTTGGAAGTACCTATAAAGATCCAAAACGGTACAGGATAAACTTGTGAATGCAGTCTAATATGGTTTATTGTCCACATTTTTTCACTTTGAAAAATTCTCAGAACAGTTGTAAACTTTTTTTTAAAGGCACTCCCTGCTGTGAAACCTGCCTTCTAAAAATTTGCACAAAGTTTCAGCTAAGTTTTACAACAAAAGAGAAGGGATTGGAGTTTCAACTGTGTTTTACAAAATCCTGTTAAGCTTATGTGTTATAACAGGGTAATTTAAGCTTTTAGGCTGTAAATGGTTGCAAGCTTTAGAACTGCTGTTTTTGTTTTCACCTAAAATGGAATGTAACTCCTCTCAGCTACTTTTCTGTTCCTGTTTGTTTATTTTTTTCTGAAGTCCTTGCCTATTGAGTGAGTGTGGCTAATTCACTAGCCAATAAGTTAGTCAACGGTAAACAGTCCAATCAAGGAGTCACCAAGAACACTCCCACCACAACTGACAGGGCGAACCAATTGTATATAAACAAAGAGCAAATCCTACTTCCTTCTAGCCCTGATGATGATACCTAGTTGGGTAATAAAACGCAAGAAAACAACCAAGCTCAGAGAGCATCAAACCATCCTTTTTGTTGAGACACATCACTTTGAACAGGGGGTGTCAAATTCACGTTGTCATGACATCATCACGTGACGTATTATGACTTTTTCCCCCTTCGCTAAATGGCACGGGAATGGCCAGCGCATGACACACCCAGCCCGCGAGCGTTTGACAGCCCTGACTGAGCACATTCTCAACCTCTGCTACTTTTCTTGATTCCTACAATTTTCCATGTTGGCTGGGGAATTCTGGGAGTTGGAGTACACATATAGTTGCTGAGGTGGAAAACCACTGACTTGGAACCTGAAAAACTAAATTGAATGGTTTGCTATGCTTCGATCCATCAGTTACAGCTGTCAGTCTGAAATCCTTGGTGCTCTCTGACTTGGTTTTCTGTAGATGTTTCACTACCTGGCTAGGTAACATCTTCAGTGCTAGAAGGGAGTAGGGTTTGCTCTCTGTTTATGTACAGTAGCTTGCCCTGTCAGAATTGGCTTGTTATGTTACAGGCATATATAGATAAACAGTATTTACACACCATTCAAAAGAGAGGATAAAAAAGGAAAAAGACCAGAACGCCACCTCAACAGCAACCAACACCTAGGTAAACACGGATTAACACCAGACAACAATCAAGCAATAAACAAGCTACAAACTCAACAACTCAATTTAGCGTTTCTCAACCTAAGCAACTTAAGGTTGAGAAACATTGCCTCAATTTAAGTAAACATACTGTGTTGACTTTAATTTTAATACAGGAAGAATAATGTAGTTAGTGGCCATTAGGAAAATTAAGAATGCTCCTTGCTCTTTTAAACTCTGTCAAGGGATCTTTAATACCAATACAATTATTTTGTTTAAAATTTTATTAAAATGCTGCTTCTAGATTAAAACAAAATAGAGGACACTCAGTAGCACTCCCCCCCCTCCCCCCCCAAGCAAAACAGCACTGGTTGCACAGTGAAATACTGACTTTAGCCACCTCCAAAGGCTGCCTCCTGAAACATTTTGCATTGATGCTTGGATCTGCACTTTCAAGAAACCCTTAAAACCTTGATGTTTTATGTAGAAAGAAGGCACACAAGTCTAGTTCTAATGAACAAATTTGGGGGGGGGGGAGGAAACAAAAACAAATGCAGGAAGAGCATGACAGTCATCAATAGAAGAGAATGTATGTAGCTCGGTGTTGAATTGTGAAGTCCTTGGTGCTCTCTCAGCATGATGATTTGCTTGTAAATGTTTCATTACCCACTTAAGGAACATGCGTGCTAGCAAGTATGTCAGGAGACACACATAGTTTAAAAGAACAAGGAGTTTTTAATTGGTGCATTCTTCATTTTCTTCCCTGATAGCTATTAACTACATCAGGGGTCTTCAAACTTAACAGCTTTAAGACTTGTGGACTTCAACTCCCAGAATTCCTCCTCTAATCATGTTAGCTCAGAAATTCTGGGAGTTGAAGTCCATAAGTCTTCAATTTTCCAAGTTTGAAGACCCTTGAACTACATCATTCTTCCTTATTAAAATTGAAGCCAATGCCATGTTTACTTAAATTGGTGAAGTATTTCTCAATTTAGGAAGTATTTAAATTGAGGAAGTATTACTCTAAATTTCAAAGGTTAAGAAACACTGAAATGAAGGGATGAGTTCACAGGTCACAATGCAGAAGGGCAGGCAATCTGCAGGCACTGAGATGCTGCACATGTTTTGGGGCCAAGTGATGACTTCTGTGTGAATGTGATTCAAGTTGAAAAACATATTCCTATCAAAATTTTAATGTATCTACAGACCCTTCTGCAAGAATTGTTGTTTTGCCCTTTAGGAGAGAAGTGTAAATGATTGAATTAGGGCCGGAGAAAACCTACCTGCAACCTCCTTCCCACCCGTTAGCACTTTAAGGAAATAGATACTTTGCAATCTGGCAACTTGGCTCTGATTACACAGTTTCAAACTTTGGGACATTTTTATAAAAAAGGAAATGGTGGTCTGAAAAGGAGAGTTGGGTAATTTGCTTGAAGTGCCATAAAGAAATATGAAGATACATGTAAGTTCCTTTATTATCTATTTCCCTCTTTGGCTGCAGTTTTCAGCACACTATGAATCTATTCCCTATATTAATGAGGAATAGAAACTTAAGATTCCTCGGCTAAATAGTGCATTCCATACTTGTTCACTGCCAAATTGGATCAGGCCCATTTCCTGCCTGCAGCAAAGAAGTATTGTCAGTAATGTGCAGGAAAAAGCTGGGAGGAAGAACAGGCCTGCTGCATTTCTACAGCAGCTAACTTTTGTGCCATGCCATAAATACAGAACAGGAAAAAACAGCTGTAGGCACTATGACTTTGCATTGTGTATTTAAAAGTCTGCATAAATTGGCTCTTTTATCATTTCCTTCCAAGACTCTGGGGCTTGGATGGTATTGTGTATTATCAGGATAAATCAGAGATTTACTGGCAAAACTTAATGTGAGCATCATTTACAACAGCCACTATTGCATGTACTTTTCAGATTGAGATTGGCATGCCTGTGTTTTCCTACTGCCAAACATTAGCAAATGCCCTTGAACACTCAACTTTTAAATGCTTTTTGAACAATTAATATTAAAAAAAGAACTTTCACTTGTGTAAAAAGGAATTGCTATGGTCCCAAGTTTATTACTACTGCTCAGAGAAAGAACATATTAATAATCTTTAGTCTTGACAGAGCAAAAAAACAGATTTGATACTTGGCTTTATTGCTATGCATTTTCTGTAGAAGGTCTTACAAAATAATGTTTCTCAACTTGAGTTGCTCTTGCTTTTTCATTGCGTTTGTTCCTTGTGAATATTCTAGCATAAACAACATTCCGTAACTTCTGTTCACAGTGAATTCTGATGGTGGGCACCAACAGGATTAGCATCCAAACTAAACTGGAAAAATTAGAGAGGTTTTGGAGTACATTTATGACAATTTTCCTCCTTGTCTCAGCTTTACAGTGGTTTTAAAGGAAAAAAATACCTCAGTGGCACTTGAGCCTGTTCAGTAGGTTCCAAATGTTGAACATTTGATCATTCTGAAAAGAGAAATGTTAAAGGGTGAGATGACATTTCCTCCATAAGCTCCAAAATTCTGGAATAAAAAGTAAGAAAACAGTCCTTTATTTTACTTTCTGTCCCATTTATTTTCATTTAGTGACAAACTCAGTTTGCAAGCATAGCAAGACCACTCAGAAATGATACAGTTTACAAGTTTGTAAATGAAAAAAGAAAGACATAAATTCAAATTTTCTGATATGAACTGCTAAATGTGTAATGCTGTTAGAAATTAGATGAGTGTAGAAATTAGAACTACAGCTGACTTGGCTACCAAGGATTAATCCAGTTATCTGGATTTCTCAGACCTGAAGAACAGATCCAAACATACATAAAGCTTTCAAAACAATTAAGGTTTGAAAACAGCTGCTCTCTGGAATTTCAATGAATAGTGAGGCTTCTGGGATGGGCATTCCAGCTAATCAACAATCCCTGAGAGGCAGGAAGTGCAAAATCTGCAGCTTCTGGCAAGGTTGTTGGACTAAAGGCAGAATAATTAGGCAGGAAGTTCAGTGGTTCCTCCCATGGAGGCTTACTACCAGGAGCCATGTCTATAATATCTGCAGTCTCATTCTGGCAATACTGATGGACAGGATACCCTAAAACCCAGCTACCTTAATATAGTCTAACTGTAGGTAAATGGACAAGATCTCAAGCTAAGTGTAAGAGATAAGCAGGCTGAGTTCGAGGGCAGGGTTAAATGTGTCATAAGTCTGGAGTTGCTGTGCAGCCACAAGAGACCAGCCCACTATGAATTCTGTTAACCCTTACATAGCGGCAATTTGGCTTAACTGTTAGTAGGCCAGATTCTTGTGTATACGTAGCATGAAATAAACTTTTTGTGATTTGAACTCAGCTCCCCATTCCTGGTTACTTGCCCCTTGATACTAGGCTGATAAGCGGTCCTGATACATAAGGCAATCATCCTGTCTGACG